GATTAAAATCTATATTATCACAAAACAGATGAAAGGGTCTCTGTTTTTAATGTATTCTGATAAATGTTTGACATTTTAAAGGCATTATTGATTTTCAGATACTTTTCAAAACAAAGTACATTTTCTTTATTAGGTATCTAAAGTAGCAAATTGTTTACTTCTACTGTCAGCTTTATAAGAGCATGTCTTCCCTAGAACAAAATGGACAGTTTCATAAATTTTTTTTTGATGAGTGACAGTGGGAAAAGACTATTCTTTAATGTCACTTAATATCATCTCAGTTGACTACTGATACTCGTAGAAAACAACCTTTAGTATTTTAATTGCCACATCATGGCAGTAACCTTAGACTATCAACAGAAGTTAACTCAGAGTAACATTTTTTTACATGGGTGTCTCTCTGAGGATTAAATTGTCTGTTTACCATCCATACAAAGATACTAACAAATACTACTAGCACACTACATATTCTGTTATTCTTTCTCATTCATGTTTTCTTTCACTACCCCTACCCATCATTCTATTCTTTATTATGGTTTGAATACAAATTTTCCTGCATAGGTCCAATTTTTCAATGCCAGGTTCCCAGCTGGTGGCACTATTTTGGGAAGTGATAGAAACGTTAGGAGATGGGGCCTAGCTAGAGAAAAGGGGTCACTGAGGACAGATCCTTAGGGATACCTTACTCCTTCTTGTTTTTCTGCTTCCTGTCTTCTATTAGGTGAGAATAACCCTCTGCTACCTCTTCCTGTTGCCTTGATATTCTACCCAAGCACATGGAATCAAGAAGCCATGAACTAAACCCTCTGAAATGGTGCACAAAGAAATCTTTCCTCCCCTTAAGTTGTTTCCGTTGGATATTTGATACACAACTCTTGCCAATGGACAACTAACCAAAGGCATTGAGGCTGAAGAAGTGGTTCAAATATTACAGGCATAGCGTTCTCTTCCAGAGGACCCAGGTTAGATTCCCAGCACACACTTGTTTCACAACCATCTGTAACTCCAGTCTCAGAAGACTCAATGCTCTCTTCTAGTCTCTGAGAGCATCAGACATGCATATTGAACACAGACATTCATGAAGAAAAAAAATACCATACAGATGAAATATAAGTCTTTTAAAAAGAATAAAGACATTCTCAACTAACTGAAGGTGAAAGACCAATGGAGCACAGCCTGGTTGACCACCAGGGTAGCATTGCCTGCTGTAAAAATTCACTCACTCCCTGTCTCATATTGTACTACATGCCTGTCTCTTGCCTCGCTGCAAAACCAATAATGAGAACAAGTGCAAGTAAAGACATACATAAGATGAGCAGGCACATAAACTCTATTCTAATGTTTTTAAAAATAAAGACACCATTTTAAAAGAAATATATAGAAAGCTTTTACCATATTTGTAAATGAATGGCTGAGCCCCCAAACAGAAAGCTTTTCTACATCTAAACAAAAACATTTTAGCCCTTTCCTATCAGCAATATGCTACCAGATTTTAATGTTATCCTTATGGGTGGCTACTAAAATTGTAGAGATGTTAAAATCTAGAAAATAGAAGATATGCAAATTATGACACTTTCATAGCCATGGGCCTTGAGCCCAGATGTATTCCATGGGCAAGTGCTAGCAGCCTACCAAATGAAGAACAGGGTTTGTGCACCTTGTCAGTTCTGAATTCCTCCCACAGACCAAGTGGCACACTGGAGTTGGCTATAAATGCAGGAAGTTTGAGACTGGAAAAAGCCTGTAGAATTGGGGAATGCGAACAGCTGGTGTGCAACAATGTTTTGATACATTTTTAAAAATGGTCATACAAATTCTAAAACGAGCAGAACTCTTTTCTGACCTCAGGCAACATACTGGCAAACAGATGGATGAAAGGCAGCTTCTAATTTTTTTTTTTTTTTAGAAAATATTAGTCTAATAAACAACTTGAGCTTTTCTCAGGCTGTCTCTAGCTCCTTCTCTTCCCTCTCTCATTTGCTCACCCCAGACAATATGATCAATCATTCCTATTCAACAACATATTATTCCATATCACCCAAGCACTTTACCATCCGAACAAGCATGAAACCATTTCAGATGGTACGCTGAAGGGTTTAGGGACCTTTTGCTAACCCTCATGTGGGTTGAAAGGCTCACGCTCAGAAGGTGGCCACTTCTGGCACTCACGAATCATACCTCCATTCTAGTCTCATCCTGTTTAGCTTTACAAAAATTTCCAACATAAAAAAAGGCACACAGAAATCTATCCCCAAGACTTACTGCTGAGAGTAAGGCTTCCTTGGAACAAAAATCCATTCTTCTTGGATCAGGCTGTCAACGGTGGCCCAACCATTCCTCTAAAGCTACAAGTGTAAAATGGCTAATAACAGTAATAATGGAGGTGAAAGTGATACCAGCCAACATTTATAATCACTAGTAGGAAATACCTCCTTTTGTTTGGGTCAAACTATTCATCAAAATATAGTCAACATATCAAAGTCAGACAGAACTGGTGTCAGATTCATTCTGTGTCACTAAAGACCTCAGTGACCTTGAAGAAGTCATTCAGCCTCTTTGTATTTCACTGTCTTCTGATAAAGGGGAATATTCTTGTCCTGTCTGCATTCTTCCAAAAGATAGTACATGCTCCCACAGAAATAAGAGGACAATTTGAAAGCTCATTACAAAATAGAATGTTCTTTCCACACAGGCTGCTCTCCTAGGAAGTTCAAAGGTTTATTTTGTAATCCTGAGACCTTTATCTCACCTCAGGAATACTAGCCATGCAGTTGCCTCAACTACTAAATTTTCATCTCCCATGTGCAATCACACGTGATGCATTCATATTATCAGAGCTCATCCTGCAAGCAGGGATCTTTCAACATTCTGGAAAATTCTGGATACCTCAGGGTATAATTGAATAATTCTGGAGATGGGTAGAAAAGAGTGAAATAATAAAGATGCCCTTGAGGTGGTATTTTATTTCTTTAGGAAATTTTACTTCATTTTTATAAACACTGTACAATCAACTGACTTTTCCAAATGTGGCTCTTCTTTGATTGGACTAGATGTCACTGTGTTATCACCCTTTTATTGTCCAACAAAATTACATTGCATTACAATTTTGCTTCAACTGGGGGCAATCCAAGAGGCTTCAATGGGTCCTGCTTACCCTATAGATTACATCTGAAGAAACCTGTCAAAGGACAATGCCTACTAAGTAGATAATTCAGACCGCATTAATATTACATTTACAGATATCACATTCTGACTTACATGCTCAAAAGAACTGATAAAGTCACACATGCCATATGTAACACTTGACAAAGCTATAGCTTCTATGGCAGGCAAGCCTTCCCTTCCACTGTTATGGAAGTCTGTTTCTGCCCTAAACATTGTTTTGATCACCATCCCTTAGTATACCTACAAGCTAGCTACCATAAGAGGATCTTTTACAGTACTGTCAGATCTGAGAACACTTTCTTAAATACCACAACGCTGCTGTGACGATGACTTACACAATTCTTGCCATGAACTGAAACTCAGCCATCCTGTAGCCAAGGTTCTCTTGGAACAGGAAGACCAATCTGCTAGTGTAAAAAGGAAATGAAAGTACAAAGAATTTTGCCAAGACTATGGTCTTTCAGAAAAGCCACTGTAAACTGAAGTTGTGACCAGAAAATCGGGGGGTTCCTTTGCTGAAGCTAGACAGAAGAAGCTACACAAACAGTTTATCCTTGACAGTCACCTGCAAAATATTATTTTAGCCAGGAAACCTGAGTGAGCATGGGATATGAAAGGCAAGAAGTGTCCAAGTCTCAGCAGCACCCTTGAGAGCCTATGAAGTCACAAAAAGGGTAAAGTGAGACACACATGGCCTTGTCGGCAGAAGATCCAAAATTTACTCCCTGCAACCAAACCCATTCATAGACTCACTTCCCCAGCCCAGTTTTGTTTTCAATATCTCAGCAAAACAACAGCCCTAGTTGGATTTTACTCCAAAGAAGCTCCTTTTGTCCACTTCACAGCATCCCATGACCTCCAGGAACTGGCCATAGCATCTAGAGGGAAGAAAATGCCCTGGTGGCTACAGATTATCCATGAATCAGCTTTTTTCTTCATCATTCCCAGTGGCCCAGAACCTGAGCTCTGGAATTTCTGAGCCTCAGACAAAGCTGCTAGCACTCCTGAGGCTTCTGAGCCCTAGGTGGGGTCCAAAGCAACTTTCTAGCTAGTCACTGAGCAGGCAAGATGCCCCTTATATTCGAAAAGTACCATGGACATTTTGAATATGAGCAGTAGTGAGGGGCACAAGATGAGAACTAGGAGCTCTCCCTCCCTGAGTGTCAGGAAACAGAATGATACCCACTCTCCAGGGAAAAGTGGGGTCTGAGGTGGGGAGGCAGTAGAAGTTAGGGAAAGAAGAAATAAACAGAAAGGTGAGAAAGAGAGAAGAAAAGTGGAAAGGGGGACGGACAATAGACAAGAGAAAGACCAGAAAAAAAAGAAGGAAGGCATAACCAACAGCTAACAAGATGGGCAGAGATTTTCCACTAAAGAAAGTCAGAAACTAAAAGGGGAAAGAAAATGCGGGAGCAGGAAGAGGGGAGGGAAAAAAAGCAGCGGGCTTTGGAATCAGGTGCAAAGGAGAGAAGAGGGTGGACCCAGAGACTCTACATGGGAAACACAATTCTTTAGGGCTTTCAAGTGCTCAGAGGGTAGTGCCCAGTCCCAGCTGCTGCTGGGGGACTTTACAGGCAGCCAGGCCACTTTCCCCACACTCAACTCCAACCACCAAGCAGGCCAACCTTCTGATGGGCAGAAAGGCTGACCTGGGCTGAAGCCCAAATTCTTCTTGTAATGCACCACAGCATTACAGAAATAGGCAGAGACTCAACCCCCAGGGCGCTAAGGTGTGCACAGGGTCCACAACAACTGCAGACAACTCCTGCCCCTGGTTCAGGGAAGCCCAGGTCAGTGACCGCACCTAGGGGACCTTCTGAGATGTAGTCAAAGACTCACCTGGAAGGTCTCAGCCTGGCGTCGCGCTTGCCATCCACCACTGCGGGGACGCAGCTGGTGAGCTCGGTCCAGTCGGCATGCAGCCCACAGCTCCAGCCAGTGGAGAACCTGGAGAAGAGCCAGGTCTCCCTCTTACCAGGCCGGTGGCAAGTGCATTTCTTCTGCCCCACGCGGCACTCACATGGCTGCTCCAGCTGGATGTTGCGCACCAGGTGACGGCCAAAAGTGGTGCCCCCAGTCTTCTGGATGTGCAAGAACACAATCAGGTCATCGCCCTTGATGTCGAAGTCTACCTTGCGCAGGAGATCGCCACGGCTGAAATTGTAGCGGGGCACAAACCTAGCGGAACTCTCATCCTCCGACCGGTACGGATCCGGCACCGGGGAGCTGAACGCCTGCAGGCGGAGGAGCTGGCATTCTGTGCCGGGGCACACGTATTGGAGGACGATCACGGCAAATAGGAACAGCATCACCAAAGCCAGCAGCAGCTTGTTGGATTTCTCATCCATGTTCCCGACGCTGGGGGAAACCCAAGCTCGTTACGTCAATCCCGCAGCTTGGCCCGCGCTCGCCTCGCTCCCGCACTGCCCCCTCCCCGTGGCGCCACCGTTGTGCCCCTTTCCATTCCCGTCCTTACAGAGTACTCCACTAAGGCGGCGGCGGCGCCCTTCCCCGCTTCCTTCCTTCCCGGCAGGCTCAGCGCTGTGGCTTCTGCCGCAACCCCCCTCACCCCGACTCCATCCCGCTGGCGGTCGGCCGCCTCCCCCGCGGAAAAACCCTGTGTCCCATCTGCGGAGTCTCGGTTCCCGCAGGATCCGTCCTGTCCTGGTCTCCCTAACTCACAACCACCCTACCCTGCACCGGGTGCCTACCGCTCACCTCTCTCCTCTTCCCTTCCCCATCCCGCTTGGCCCACGGGACTCTCCGGGGCTCCGGACCCCTGTCCCACCCGCGTGCATGAGCCGCAGACCCTAAACGCGGGCTCCTTTGGCGCCTGTCCAGTTGACTACCGGGTGGCCTCTAGAAGTGAGCTGGGGCTTAGGGGTTCCCCTGGGGGAAAGGGAAGGAGCCCACAGGCTGCTGGACTTTGCAAGCAGAAGCCACTCAGCCCTTTCCCGCGAACAGCGTGAAGGAAGCCACATCGCGGACAGTTGCCTACTCAACCGGTTCCAAGTCCCCCAGCCCGGCCACCACCGTCTCACTGGAACTTTAAGCCTTTCCCTCCGCTCCCAGTTGCCTTCCCTTCTCCCACCGCCCCTTCCAACCCAGGACCCAGAACGAGAGCGTTGCTTTCACCCACAATGTACCTGGCCAAGGGACCGAAGATCTTGGAGAAGATCGCGCTGAGCACGTGCTTGACTGAGTGGCCCACGGCTGCCAGGCCCCGAGTGAGCAGGGCCCGGCAGAGGGAGCCCAGGTCCCAGCGTCGCCTGAGGTCGTGCATCCGCCTGCGGCGGCCTCGAAGCAGCAACGCGAAGAACGGGGCGCGCAAGGCTCCCGCCAAGGAAGAAAATGCCTTTGGGGGCTTGTCCTGGAGCGGCGGGGAGTTGAATCCCAGAGACACACCCCTAGGAGGGCCGGCAAGGACTGAGGCAGCGACCGGCCCTGGCCAGCTTGCTGCCAATTCAGCCTCTACTCTGGAATGCCGGCGGGGACAGGTGGTGAGGGCTCCTTGCTCTGGTTGCAGTGGCGGCCCGAGCTCCCGGGCTGCAAACGCAGGCAGTGCCATTTCCCCCCTTCAGGCAACTCAGGGTACTAAGGATCAGGAGCGAGCTTGAATTTATATAATAATGCCTCGCACCCAAGAGTCCCAGCCACTTCACGAGCAAAAGACGTGGGTTTTCTCCTGTGTTGGAGAACGGAGGTCACTCCAGAGAGCGCATCACTCCACTTTGGCTCCTAATCTCATCCTCTCTTAAAATAGCAAAGGCGCAAATTGGACCCTTTTCCCTCTCTCTTTGCCAATTTCCATTCTGCAACGGAAGAGGGAGTATTTTCTGAAAAGGTAAGTCAGCATGGAAATAAAGCATGACTGAAGAACCTTACATGGGGGATTTTGAGCATTTTCAAACTACACTCGCTCTTATTCCTCTCCCCTTGCTGAGTCCCCTGCACCAAGCCCACTACCTGCAAAAAGATTTCACTCACTACCATTTATTGAGTAAATGAATGAATGAATAAATGAATGAATATATAGTGACACACCATTTTAGAGTCAGACCATCTTACCCGAGGTATTGTGACGTATGAAGAAACTGAAGCCTAGAGAAAATTAGATATATACCCAAGGTCACACAGCACGGCACCAGGATTTATTCTCAGAAACCTAGGCACTACCCAACCTTTTCTCTCTCTCTCTCTCTCTCTCTCTCTCTCTCTCTCTCTCTCTCTCTCTCTCTCTCTTTTTCATGATTAGAATGTCTCTTAATAAATACATATGTGTTTATTATTAAACCCAGTTGTCTAAAAGGCTCTTTTCAGCTGGGCAAACAGGGACTCGGGGATTTAAGAATGCATATTCCTTCAGAATAAGGCCCCTGACAACTTGGGACTCAGATGTTCCCTATGTAAGGAATAGGAGAATTCGCGGAGCATGAACACACAGGAGTTTCCATTCTTGAGCATGCACTCCCAGCCCAACTGATGCAAAAAAAAAAAAACAAAAAAAAAAAACTGTGGGTTAGCAGCAGCAATGTTTTAAAGTAATACCACTGGCTTTGGGGGTCACTGGAAGAGGATGCTGAAAGCTGAGTGCTAGTATAGGGATATTTCTCTCTCCAGAACCTTATCTCCCTTGCTGAGCTCTGGATGGTGAAACAGCATGCAGAGTACTAAACCAGGAGTCCTTGGAATTTTTCCACGTCTTTACAGAAACTGTGGCATGATAAATAGCTTGTCCCTCCTGCTGCTCAGTTTCCTTTTCTGTCACATAAGACTAATAATAATTGCCTCCACGTTAACCAAGAAGGCTGACGTGACGATGCAATGTGGAAACCTGGCAGCTCCAAATACCAGGTGTGGCTTCCCTGCAACTCTTGCCGACCTGTGTCACAAATGAGTCAGAGGCTAATTGAATCAAGAAGGAAGGGGTCCTTATCAGGTTGTTTTACGGCTGTGGCCCTGCCCTTCTATTCAGAACCCCCAGTCCCGGCTGTACTTAAGGGATTCTTTGTCTAGCTAATGCAGGTTTCCAGAGTAGTGTATCTCTTGCATTCGTGGAAATCCTGCATCGGTGGCATTCTTGCACCTTTGACCCTGAACTCCAGGAGCAAAGCTATATAAAAGAACTGGATGCTGCATTACAAAAGATCGACCTCAGTCCCCCCAAAAGCTCCCCTGCGTCTGTTAAGACTATGGAGTAGGAACTATTCCCCACCGAGGGCAGGTAAGCATGTAAACCCTGAAGCTACAGGGATTATGACGTTTATGGCTACCCACACAGTGGCCTCTTTGGCTACAGTAAGTAGCTACCGTCATGACACCATATAAAGTTCCCGCTGTCACGATGGCACCATTCTAACGGCCTTCAGTACATCCCTAAGACAATACTTTCTGAAACTGGTGGCTCCCACATTCGAGTCCTCGGCTACCCATTATGGAATTTCTGTTTAAGAAGGATGAATGGGGATTGGAATGTGGGAAAGAAAATTACCTTGGGTGGCAGGTAGAGGGAGGTGGTGAGCAACACCCAGGAAAATCAGGATTTTCTCAAAGTGTAAAAGAGAAACCTGTGCACAGATATAAAGACACATGCACAAACAGGCAAGCACATTCACAATGTATTACAGGAAGGGCTGGTCAGGTTTATCTCTACAGAGCCAAAGGAAGTAAACTGCAATTATTGAGATACAGGACTCTGCTAACATGCCAATGTAAATATATACAATTCAGCGGAGAAGATTTCCATTTGCAAGTTTTTCCTTGCCACCACCTTCATGCTTGTGAGACAGTGATACATGGGGGCCGGGCAGATGACACTCGCTGACAAGCCTGACTAAGTTCAATTCCTGCGACCCACGCACATGTTGAAAGAAGAGAACCAGTTATCTCAAATTGCCATCTCACCTCCACACAAACAGAATGGCACACACACACACACACACACACACACACACACACACACACACTGCACACACACAGGCACAGGAACACACAGGACTAAATAATAAAATACTAGCCTAGCATAGTGCTGCATGCCTGTAATCCCAACACTTGGTAAGCAGAGGCAGGCAGATCTTTGTGAGTGTGAGGCCAGTCTGGTCTACAAAGTGAGTCCAGGACAGCCAACATTACATAGAGAAACCCTGTCTTTAAAAAGCAAATACTGAATTTGAGTCCAACCTGAGGTGCAAGAGTCTCTGTCTCAAAAAAGAAAGAGAAAGAAAGAACTTAATAGCACACACACACACACACAATCTCTAAATGTGAAATGTGCATTCTTTTGAGATTTGTTCTCATTATGTAGCCCTGGAAAGCTTAAAACTTCCTATGTAGACTAGGCTGGTCTCGAATTCACAGAGATCTTCCTGCTTCTGCCTCTTGAGTGCTGGGATTAAAGGTCTGGGTCCCCACACCTAGCTCATAATGTTTTAAGCAAGTTTATTATTTTTGTCTTAGACAACATTCATGGCTATTCTCAGCAGGCTGCCTGCAGACTGCAGGTTAGACACACAAGAGTATTTCTTCCGGAGAGATATTGAGACAGGAGCAAAGAGCAAGAGAACAGGCTAAATTGTAAGGTTTTTGGTTTTTCCCATGTCATTGGAGCAACTTCAGTTGCAGTGGGTATGACCACTTAGAAGATTCAGTACTTGGAAGGTAAAGAGGACAGTGCAGTCTGAGCAGAGCCTCTGGTTGACTCCACAATGTGGTGAGGTTTTCAGCATTTTTCACAGAACTGTCCTTTAATAATTTTCAACAAAAAGGTTGATGATTCAGAGAGCGCAGAGGTCAGCCTGGCTTGTATACTATGCAGAGAACGGGAAGCCCTTCACTGGGTGCTAGAGCTTGAGAAGATAACAGGCAGGCTGCCCTGGCAAGAGTCCTTTGTTAGAAGCAGGAGACCCACTGAGAAGGCCAGGTTCTTTTGTCACAGAACAAAGGAGTGGACTAGGGACACGTGGATAGTGACAGAAATAGTGACAGACCACTAGGAAAGACAATGGCACTCTTGAGAATGGAAGTGGGCTAGAGAGCAAGGAGAGATCCCAAGCTCAAAAATCCCAGGTCTTCCCACAATGACCCCTTCTAGGTCACTACCCCTTTTTCCCACACTTGCAGATTGCATGTTGCAGATTGCAGGTTTCTCTGCTCAAGTACCAACAGCCCAGGTGGGAAGAGGTTAGGGTCCTTCAGCCACCCGCTTTTTTCATATGTTAATCCTGATGCTTCTGAGTCCTCTCTGCCTTACTTTCCTACCACCTCATGACTAGGATGCTAAGAACACCTAGTAGGCCAGGGAAACCACTTCCTCACTGGCTTTTTTTTTTGTCCTCCGTGCTTAAGACAGCAAGGTTAATAAGATTCA